GATTTGGAGGTGATGGAGATCAGACTGATTCCTCTATGGCTGCCGCATTTTGGTCGTGAGCCTCCCTTGAAATTTGGGATTATGACGGAGCGACTGCATTCGGCTGGGACAGTTTCCTGCTCCCACAATTCTACTAGTAGCTCGTATAAGTCATCCACAAGAGCAGGTCCCCCGAATTTGAAGAGGGCTGGAGTATGATCATCAGGTCCGTCGGCTTTATTTAACTTCAACAGTTCGACCTCACGTTCGACTTCTGAGCGAGAGGGTGGATCCATAGGAACAGCTCAGGGAGCGGGGCGATCAGTGGCCGGCGAGAGATCTAACTATTCCGACCGGTTAAATTGCCTTTTAAAGTGCTCAGCCCAAAGCTCTAAGCGTTTTGATAAGTTGTGGATAGACTGTCCACTCTCGTCACGTATATTTTCATTAACCCCAAGTCTTCTGCTGCGCTTTTTCCGTATCAGACGGTTATCAAGGGCAGCGGCCATTTCCATCTCTGATGCACGATGAGACCACCAGGATTCGCGGTCTCTCTTCAGGCTTGCATGGAGTTTTGCCCGGAGCTCTTTGCGAGTTTCATTGTGTTCGCTTCCAGCCGGAATATGCCGGCGAGCATCGATAAGTTCCAGAGACTGTGAAGAGACCCAATGTCCATGTTAGGCTTACCAAATGAGGATTTTCCTGCTGCTAGTAAGGTCTGGTGAATATGAGACTAGTGTGCTTCCATTGCATCAGGTGAGTGCTTGCTCAACTCGCATAACAGCGTACTTTGATAAGCAATCAGAACAGCTGGCTTTGTCAGTTGGTTGGTGTCAATGCGCTCACAATGTCGTAGTGGGCGTCCGGCAAAACGCATCCGCAGGTCAGCACATACAAGTGCATGGTCGGTGTCCCCACCTGTGCTCCAAATCGAGCGACAGTTCTGGACGCAGCCTCTCCATCGGTAACTTATCGCAATGTGATCGATTTGCGTCCATAGCTGGTTCGAGGCTGGTGGGCGTCAAGTCACCCTCTGGCGGGTGCTGTGTCGGAAATTAGTGCTCGCAAGAAATAAGCGAGCATCCTCACATAAATGAAGTAACGGCTCACCGTTATCATTATGGGAGTCTACGCCATGTTGGCCGCCCAGATGCTGTTCATCAGTGGTTATTTTTCTAACTTGAGCGTTCATATCCCCAGCCAGCACAACAGTGTCCGAGCTTCTTTTGCGTAGGAGCTCAGTCCATTGGCGATAAAAGTCGTTTTTTACCGAATCATCGCTATTGTTTGTGGGTGCATAGGCAGCGATGACGAATAGACACCTGTTAGTCCGGCGCGACTTCGAAGCTTTGAACGAGCCAGCCAATCGGACCGCGCACAACCGGCTACGATTGGAATCCAGTCAAGCAGAGCAGCTTCAGCCCGAGGACTTACGGCGATACCAACAACGGCTTGTCCAGTGCTCGAAGCTGCATCGGCACCGGATAGGCGCAATGAGAAAGTGCTGTTAGAGTCACCTGAAGGGGATCCCAATGTGAGCACAGAGCTCGAGTCTTGCAGGCGGGTCTCCGATAAACAGCAGATATCGATCCAAAGGGTCTCTAATGTTCGGCCATGTGCTGCCTGTTTACCGATCAAAATCAATGTGCGTGCATTGAGGCATACCAATCTGAAGGAGGATCGAGGGCACCAAATGGAAGTCGATGAGCTGGGCTTAGCCGCTTGGTTGGACGTGGGCTTGCCGACAGGACAGCAATAACGCTCCGCGTTCACATGTGAATTGAAGCTAGAATTTAAAAGCCTAGCAAAGTAAGGTGGGGTGGCCAAGTACCAAGGGGTTGAAAACTGGGGGGATAGAAGTGAAGCTGGAACAGGACGGTAAGAGAGCAAAAGCGTAAGTGGGGGAATAAGAAGATGGGAAGGCTTGAGCAGTAGCATCCAAACACCTATCCACCCTGCTGCATGCAGCAGATAGGGCTCCGTTGATTATCCTCTGCGGTGGCCAGAGCCTCAAGAAACTTTTTGATGAGAAATTCATTGTATTGCGTGTGCAAGATACTGTCAGGTTGCCCAGGCCTAGACAGAAGAACAATTCGGGTTCTCAACCAAAGCCTTTGATTCAAAAACCTGACCGCAAAACAGCGGGTTTGGCGTTGGGCTACAAGTAGTCCGTTTTAAGGAATAAGGAGCCACCTCATTCCAACCCCCAACCTGGAGGATCAGGAGGCTGAGTTTGTCTGGCCTCTAACCATTGACAAATCTGGTATGAGTGGCTCTGAAGATGCAACAAAGCACCACTTAGCATCGCTCAATGGATCGCTGAGACACACAAATCATCGCACCACAGTAAATTCCTGATGAACAGAAGACGGAAGTTGTGTGACCGCTTCAGGCTCACACGATCAGAGCATGACTACCTCGGTTACAAAGCGGTTAGGAATGCCTGTATCATGAAATATGTGAGAAACATTAACAATACAAACTCTCCCTAGGCACACTCTCTAGAAAGACTCCCAAGACGCTCTTCTCCTACATCAAACGGAGCACCAGGGCGGGCAGTGGTATCCCTACCCTGTGTTCCTGTGACCATGAGAATCCAGTTCTTGAAGACGTCAACAAAGCCTGCCTCCTGGCGCGGCAATATTCTCAAGTGTACTCGACAGCAGCGTCGTTCTCTGACAGTTCTATGTGTACTCTCCCTTCTCTGTTAGAGCATGCCAAGATTAACACTGACGTCGTGTTGATACTTCTCTGTGATTTGGATCCTTACTTATCGCCTGGTCCTGACGGTTTGCACCCCTTGTTCCTCAGGACTGTGGCCCAGTACATTGCTGCTCCTATCTCGCAGGTTTGTCGATACTTTCCTTCCGGACTTCTCCCGACCGCATGGAAGATGGGCATCATCAAACGCATATACAAAGGAGGGAACTGGTAAGATCCAGCTAGCTGGCGACCCATTTGCCTTACATCGATAGTGTGCAAAATCATGGAACGGGTCCTGGAACGGTCACTTCACCTTCATCTCGAGAGGTCGGATCTAATATCCTCTGCTCAGCACGGTTTTCGCAAAACTCGCTCCTGCACTACAAACGTGCTTGTAACTTAAGAGAAATGGACAAATTCACTTGATGTTGAAAAACGCCTCGATGTTTTATTTGTGGCTTTCATTGTGGCTTTTGATAAGGTCCCCATGAGCAGCTTTTCAAACTCCGAGGAATCGGCGTCGCTGGGAACTTTCTCTCGTGGATTTCCGATTTTCTGTGCGGTCGCTCCATACTGGTGAAAGAGAACGAAACGTTTTCCCATCCTGTGCATATGACCAGCGGTGTCCACCAGGGCTCCGTCCTCGGCCCCGAGCTCTTCAACATCTTTAACAATCTGTCGTCTGAGCTTCAATCGGATTGCTTGATATATGCTGATGATCTGAAGATATGGACTGAGGTATCCTCTCTAGAGGACGCTGATGGACTACAAGAGACGTTCGATTTGCACACTTTGTCGATTCAGTGGCGTTTACACGTTAATCAATCCTTCTATTGGCGCTCCTGAACCATTCGGCGATTACTACATAGGTGGTTTCTTGTTCAAGAATGTCTCTTCAGAGAGAGATCTTGGCATAATTGTGTCCCCAGACTTAAGATGCACTCAGGACACCATGAAGTGGGTTATCGCTGCCTACAGGATGTTTCACGTCATCCAAAGAGCTTTCCGTCGCTTGAAGTCGGAGCTCTTTAAGCTCCTGTTCACCTCCCATGTGCGCCCGATTCTAGAATACAGCCTTCCTGCTGCCTACCCGCTTACCACATTTGAGCGCGACATGATTGGAAAGGTCCAACGGCCTGGGTCGAAGTTCGTGTATGCGATACGTGACCTGCCCTACCCCCTTCGGCTTCGACATTTGAATATGTTTTCTATGGGTTACCGTCGCCGCCGCAGGGATTTGATTTTTACCCGACGTATCCTCAGGGGAGAGCTGGGGAGAGAATTGCAGTAATTCTTCCACCTCAACATTAGGAGTTCGACTAGAGGCCACGGATGTAACATATTCAAACCAAGGAGGCTCAAAGTGCGGTCCATTCTTGCTTTATCCACTCGCGTTGTGAATGACTGGAACCGGTTACTGGGGTCTGTCGCTGGTGCGCAGACAGAGGTTTGCTTCAAACAACTACTTGGTTCCCACTTGTTGCGTATTCCGGGATTGTGTTGGTTCAGCTACGAGTGCGACGGCCTATTCTTAGTATCCGTTGCGCAATGACGCGAGCATCCCATTAATGATCGGGAAGCGATGGAGCTGACAAGGCATCTCCCTCCTGCTCTCTACTACTCAATGAACCCATATGAGCTGTTGTTCGAGGTAGTCTATCCGCGGGCGTCACGTTAACAGGTAAGTGGTCGGTTAGTTTTGCTTCCTGTTATCCTTACCTTATTATTCCTATCCGGCACTTTTTCCTTCCCTCTTCCGTGCTTCCTCAGCTGCTTCCCACTCATCGGACTCTTACTAGGCAGTTGAGCATCCAGCCGACTACGAGGTGTTTATTTTGGGTTTCAGCCCTAAGTGTCTATTACGGCCCGTCATACTATTTGGACACGGAGGCGCTTGGAACGTCGGACCGGCGAAATATTACGTATTGGGCGACCCTGCCAGTTCACGACGGTAGTCAACGAAGCTAGTTTGTAGTTTTTGAGGCAATAGTTAGCATTTCTGCTATCGTGCTGCTTGTCGTTGCATCTCCCGAACCTAATATGCCAACATCAATACCTCTTGCAGGTACATAAGTTGATGCCGGTATGGACCATTTGGCGCTGAGGACAGCGCCTGCTAAGTGGGGGGATAATGTAGCTCGTCCGCGGGCGTCACGGTGACATGTTACTAGGTAAGAGGTTAGTTACTTTTGCTTCCCGTTATCCTTACCTTATTATTCCTCTCCCGCACTTTTACTTCTCTCTTCCATGCTTCCTTACATTGGTCACTAGACGGTTGAACATCTAACCCTCTACAAAGTATCTATTTTGTGTTGCAGCTCTAGGGGTTTCTTACGACCCGTCATACTATTTGGACACGGAAGAGCTGGGAACGCCGGACTGGAGGTATATTACAGTCGGAATTGCAGGAGGACAGTCCTTCCACTGATATTTACGTAGCAATTGTTGCTCAAGCAAAAAACAACGGAATTTCATTCATTTTAATCATGACAGATAATGCTATGCAGATGCTAACTATTCCTACTGATACCAGTGTTTTCCGAGACACAACCGTACAAATGTGCTGTGTCGGGTGCTCAGCTGCCGACGCATATGACATCTTGTCTGGCTGCCTGCACTCAGTGTGCTGTCGATGCCTCGTTTCCTTGAAGTTGGATGACGGTTATCTGTGTACTTGCAAGGAATTCAGTAGTAAGGTGGGTTTTTGTTATTTTTCACCGTTTCAGGTTATTCACAACCCCACATTGTCTAAATCAGAGAATCTTCCAAAGTCTCCTAACTGTAATTGGTGCTACGATAACGGGGAACAAACGAAATCAATCGGGAATTGTAGAGAATGTGATGTATGGCTTTGTGGGGAGTGTCTGAAAGGTCATAACCGCATGCCGCCCCTTCGGAGTCATACCATCACTACCCTCCCGATAACTTCCAACCAAGGTTGGTCTATCGTCTTATCTTTGGACCTGTTCTCTTTTCTTATATTGCCACTAGTTTTTTCGGCTCCGTTTTTAACTACCTTTCTGATCTGCACAATACTTCCAATTCACAAAACTAGTTATTAAGGTGAATTCGTTTTCCTCTATCAGCTATATCGGACATTCGGTTGTTCAAATTTTGTACTTAAAGCACTTAGTCAGTATTCATAAGTTACAGAAACATATATTGAATATCTACTTGCAATGGCTTTTTTTCTAGCAACTTAACTACTCACTCTTCTTTGAACTTTTCGACATCAGTGGGACATGTTTGTTGACCGACACCATCTAACAATGAGCCCGTTAGATGAAATCCTCTATGTCCTTGGGATCTGACTAGATCTTGTCCAAACTTCACATTTATTGTCCACTGTGGCTTGCTACGTGATTCAGTTACATTGCCCCAGTTAGATGTGCTTATTTGCACTAATAATGAATGTGTCAGCTGTACGCCTTAAGTAAGTTGAGTAAGGCCACATATGATCCGGAAGAGGGCATTTTCCACTTGAAAGTTTAGTGTTGCTCAAGGTCTTGCGGTGAATTGCAGCTAATTGAATCTGTCACAAAAGTTTGCCAGCTGAACTGTCTGTATCAACCTTACGGTGTTTCCTTTTCGGAGACCCCCGAAACTCATGCAGAAGTTCGCACAGACCAGTGCATGGTATGAGTCAAGGAATAGACTAGCTTGTTACAAAATCCTGCGCAATGTCTAGCTATCTGAAACTGATTGCTATGTGACCAATATAAAACCATGCATACGTTGCTGAACAAGGGCAACGTGTTGCGGAGCCTTTTCGTATGGTTGAGTTTGGTGCCCGCGAGAAACCGATGATTGTTTTCACACAATGTGGGAAGTGTTTCTCCGTTATCTGAGCTACTCTGCCCCGGTGAGCTGACGTTCACATGATAATAAGTAACAGATCCTTCCGTCTTAATGCCCAGCAAGGATAACAGTATCGGGTTTTCTTACTTTACTCAAGGGCCAATGTAGTTCATGACAAATGGCATTGACCGAGTCACGGCTGCAATCATTTGGGGTATACGCGGAGATCACAAACAAGTTACGTTTTTCTTTGCGACTTCTGCTGATCCTGTATGACCCCGAAGCCGAACTGCACACAGTCGGTTGTTAACGGGAACCAGTCCAGCAGTGCGACCTCGCAGCAATATACACGGATAGCAGTCGCGCTAACTGCGATAACCGCACGGGTATTAGCTTAACATTGACAAGTCCATGTTCAACCAAGCGGACAAAATCAGTTCATCCGTTTCTCTTTGGAGCCCCTGATTCTCGCTAAGACAGGCATAACTCAGTGTGTGCACGTTGTTACAGATTGGCCACCAGGCAGCGCTTGCCCGAACACTAGAGGCCCTATCTATCGGCATCTGCTGCTAATCGGAAACCCACCTGCAAGATGCGAGTTCCGTGATAACGTTGCGACCCCCCACTTGCGAAACTGACGGCACGTTTCTTTTGCGCTTGTCTGGAGGTAATGCAGCTTCAGATACTGATCAACCCGGTGTGGGCATTGCCCTAAGTCCCAGGGCTGGAGCTGCTCTGGTTGACTGGATCCCAACGAACAGCCGGATGTGCGCTGTTGGATTGGCTGGTTCTTCCGGAGCTTTGAAATCGCGTGGAGACAAACGATGTCTGTCATTGCGGTCTATGCCCCCGCAAACTGTAGCACTGATTCCGCGGTAGATGACTCATATCATCACCTAAACGCGCTCCTTCTTTCCAGAAAATGTACGGATACTGTGGTTCTGGTTAGCAATAGGAACGCCAAATTTGGTATGCTGTCCACTGCTGAGCTTCATCTGGGCGGCCAACATGGTGTAGGCTCTCGTAATGGTAACGGTGTGCGGTTGTTACCCCTGTGTGAAAAAGCTCGTATATTTCTCATAAGCACTAACTTCCGACATAGCACCCACAGAGGGGTGACATGGCACCCATCTACCTCAAACCATCCATGGATGCAAATGGACTACATTGCGGTAACTTACACTTGGAGAAACTGTCCTAAATTGTCGACCGATTTGGAGCACAAACGCGGATTATGATGACACTTGTTTGTGCTCATCTTACAGTTAGCTTCGGTGGGCGCATACAGTGACGCTGTCTGCGCATAGCTACGTACCAGCTGGTGAAGTCAAGGGTTCTGGAGGCGTATCGGAGTACACTGGTATCCGGGCTAAGTAAGCGCTCTCTGATCGTAGTAGGGGGCCACTGGTCGAATATTCACCATATATTACTAGCAGCAGGCATGTCTTCATGTGGCAAATCCAATCGCCAACCTGGACCTTTGGTCTCTATGCAGTCTCTGGAAGCGAACACAACGAGAATCGCAAAGACCTTAGGGCGGAACTGCGTGCTAGCAAGAAGAGAGATTGCGAACTCTGGCGGTTTCATTTTGCATCGGGGATGGAACTGGCCGCTGCTCTTGGTATCCATCGGAACTTATTCCCTTTTATACGCGAAACGGGCAGAAGAAGACCAATTAGCGAGATCATGTGTGATGAAGGTGGACGGCCAATCTACAGTGTGTGAAAACGATTGAAGCGTTAGGCCGAACACTGTACTATGCTACTTGATCAACCGGAGTTACCAGCTTCTGCTGGCCCAACAACCCCGTGGTGCCAGCTTGGTGGCTCTGGATTATCCCGCTCCAGCCAATGGTTCGGCGGCAGTGCTCCAGGACGTGATGGGTTTTCACCTTGGCAAGCGTTCTCCCTATAAGAAGCCACATATGTCCACTTAACAACACTGTGGCTTGGCGGATGTTGCTCGACATTAAATAAAGTTATTACTTTTTGCCTATCCCTGAGTGGCATTGTAACTTTAGGTTGTGTTGGGGCCCTGGTCCTTTGCAGGACCTAAAGGCCTATGAACCACTTGTTTGGTCACAGGCTCTCAACGGGTTGCGACGCCCTCATATCGCCCTGCTGGGTTGTAGGCTAGATCCTTGATCAAAGTCTCGGGGCAGGACCTTTAAGACAACCCCCTACTTTGGCCTGAGCAACCGGGTAGTATCACGCCCACTGAAGACTCATGAACGTACAATACTACTGCTTTCACTCTTGCTATGTCTACCTACTCTACTGTTCTTGCTGCTGAATCTCCACTCACGGATCCTCGCACCCATTAGTTAACTACACTTATGTCCTCCCCAGTCACCGCGAACAGCAGCTCATTGATTGCACCTGACGGAAGTCAGAGTCAAACTCTTGATGTTCGATGCCCGGCGGCCGCACCCTTTTCACACTCCACCAAAGCCCCAGCTTTTATTCGTCCTAGTTCTCCATTCAGCCTCGCAGCGTTCAATGTTCGCACTCGGATGCAGATCGGACGGCAACCATGCCTATCCCGTACTCTTACGACGCTCTTGGTAGACGTCTGTTGCCTCTCAGAAACCATATTGTAAGACTCCACTACCGTCATCAGAATGATCTCTCCTGCAAACTCTGACGTCAGTTACCATTTGCGTTTTTCCGGGGATCCAGAGACTGCCGCTTCTGGCCAGACTGGTGTTGGGGTTACTCTGAGTGACAAGACTGTGTTCGCTCTGCTTGACTGCGTCCCAGTCAACAATCGGCTATGTGCAGTCAGACTACGAGTTTCATGTGAGTTAAGTAGGCGTCGAGATGTTACACGCGCTTTTTTTATCGTCTCCGCCTACTCTCCTACAAACTGCTGCCCGGATGCAGCCAAGGATTGCTTTTACCACCAACTACATAACCTGTGTTCCACCAAATTGTCTGATATTGTCATTTTTGCCTTACATCTAAATGCACGAGCGGGCCGTCTGCCACCAAGTGAGCATGATCTTAAGGGTAGTTTTGGCTTTGGTAGCACTCGATTAAAAAATGGAGACAGACTACCGACTTGTTTTTCTGATCATTACTTGTTTCTTTTGTGCACCAGTTTTCGATACTCGACGAGACAGACTGCTGCCTAGCGCTCGCCTTCGCAAACTTGACCACCTAGCGATAGGCTACAGATGGCGCGGAAGCATATCAGACTGCCGTTCGTACTTTTCAACTTGTCTGGACTCCGATCACTCATTTGTTCGTGCTGTTATGCACACGTTTCGGAGGACCGCATGGGTATACCCACTACCGACTGAGCATAGAAAACCTACATGACCTTATGACGCTAGCCAAATACTGGGCCTTCCTGTCAACACTGCTTACCCCAGCTTCTGTTGATGATCTGAATTCACAGTGAATGCGAATCAAAAATGCCTTAGTTTCTGCCAGCATTCATAGGTGCGGAGTCCCCCAATCACCTGCCGAAATGCTGAATCACTACTGTCTCTTTGTCGCTGATGGACAGACGCGCTCGCTCCGGGCCGGTTCTATCTGCAGTGAAGAACGACGATCCCTAAAATGAGAATTGCGCAGGAGTCTATAAAAGTTCCGTGAAATCTGGTGGTGTGAACGTGCTGGAGCTATGGAACTCACTAGACTTTCTGGTAATATCCGAGACACCGAAGGTTTCCGATCTGATGTATGCAACACGATCGACTAAGAGGATGACCTACTATTCACTGATCTAATACGACGGTTGGAACGATGGGCTGAACTCCTTGGCTTACTATTTTGCTGACCACCTGCTCTATCTGCTTCCGCGGGAACGCTCACTCGTGCTAAGTGGTCTGTCCCCACAGCTCCTCCCTCTCACCAGGAAATTTGGCAGGAACTCCGCCTCTTTCAGCGCTATATAGCAGCGGGCCGTGATAGCTAACCTCCGCCTGTTTAAAAATGGCGACTATTCGCTGGCTCGGGAACTTTGTTCTCAGTAATTTGGCTGATAGATGAAGTTCTGTCATCTTGGGGTAACTCATTAGTCGCCCCCCTCTTCAAAAAGCGCCTGCGCACAATGTAGTCCAACTACTGTGGTATCAGCTTGATTCCCGTCGTTAGTAGGCTTCTGGTGTCTAGCATACTTCGAGGGCTATCTCT